GAATTAGGTCACCTCATTCTAATATGCTTGCGCAGTTAAACATTTCTTTCGTATTATACTGTTGATGTGAAAATAAAAACTTCCATTAACGAAACATATATTTTCTGGTATACTTTAACTATACAAGAGAAATTATATTTTTCTGTTACATTATAATAAATTTCATTGAAAAAAACATGATTGGTCGCAAGAAAATTGGTATGATGTCGTTAGTTGCTTGATACTAAAATATGTTTACTCAATCAGGATTATGCTCATGAGAAATATAGTAAGGCTTCTTTTTTATGATAGTCTAAATAAAAACATGGTTCCTTTAGAAGTTAAATGTTTTCTAATGTAATTAAGTTACGTTAGAGGCATAAGAATTGTTTCCCTATTGGTGTATTGTGTTGAATGTACTGATATCAGAATACAATGAACAAAAGTATATAGTCTATTTTCTTTTCATTCTTTACCATATCTCTTCACATTATTTTTAAGTGCATAGGCCTGTATTATTCTTATTCTGCAGAAATATAAACAATATATACCACAATGAATCTTTTGCACTTACACAAAATGTTTTACTTCTTTTTATTTGCATAATAACCACTGTTGTAGGTGTTGTTCGTGAAGTATCGTGTTTCCTAAAAGAAAAGATTACTGATTAATGGTTTACGTTTCCTTCGGGTTGAATGTTATTTTTTTAAAATTATGTAAGATTGTTTTTTTTTGTTTAGATAACTGTCCGTCTATTGACACGAAGAAATTTCTTGGATATTTAAAAGCATCATTTTATTTACATCGTATTGGTATTGCTTCGTAATACATTTGGTAATACTTGATTAGTCATGAAGCGATCGGCCTCCTCCATCAACAACAGCCGAGATACTATTTCATCTCGGTTAAAACGCAATCGATTATCTACAAAATTACTACAGGAGGAGAACAATACCAAAGTAGATCATAATGATGTTGTGATGTGCAATAAAGAAAATTCGATATCATCTGAATCTGAATATTCTAAGGACAAGTTAGCTGAAAATGATTTTACTTCGGTTGACAACAATTATACGACTTCTGAAAATCCACCACTCCGATCGACCATTTCGTTTTCTTCTTCATCATCAAAAATTACTGCAACACCAATGAACCATCGGCATAAAGTTGTATCTAATATCAATCAACAGTTAGAAGTTGAAAACAAGGCTTCACAATCAGCAGATCGTGCTATGAATAGTTGCTTATCTTCTCGAACGAGGTTTGGTGTTGTTATTGTAATGAATAATAAAAGAATGTGCTATTTTATCATTTAGTACAATGAAAAAATTACCACTTCAACAAACACAAAAGTATGTATATTTACTTTACTTTTTCTTATTTTTTTTTCTTTTGATTTATCAAGTTCAACAAATACTGGTGCAATCCGAGATTTTGATCGAATTGAACAAAATACTAATACACAGTTGGTATTTCTCGTATGAGCAACAATTATTAATTTTTTTTTTGCATAGAGTCTCGTTGAACTCATTGTCAAGAGAAAAAAATCGTATTATGAATAGACAAAGGTAATATGCTACTGATATCTTATTTCTTTTTACACATTTTTGCATTTCAATTTTTAAACAGTTTTACACAAGCTCCAGCTCAAAATACGTTATCCAAAGGTAATCCATGGACTTCATTAGTTGATGCAAATGCAACAACAATGTCTAAACTGTCTGGAAGTTCAATAATCGAAAGTACTCTTGAGTACAGAGAATTAAAAAGGTTATATTTACATGAGAAAAAACAAGCTGAAGAATGGAAAAAAGATTATATGATTTTGAAACGACAATTACAAGAACTTAGATCAAGTACTTTACGTAAGTTTACTATTTTTTTTATTGGTCAATAGCTCTAGGTCTCACTGTGGCACTTGATCTGGTACTATAGCTTCTTTAATGAAAGTTTATTTTTCGTCTGTGCACTGGTATAGATATTTGACTTAGTAGAGGTATTTTATTTTCAAGCAGAGATTATGACTGATATTTATCGAATTTCAGTCTGTAATACAAATGTATAAATTAATATTTCTTTGCTTAGATTTGTTGATAAGATATATAGGTCTCTCTCATTAGTAAATACATGATTTAGACACGAAAACAATATATATTTTGAGATAAAAATATTGCAATCACTTTCATCGAGTAAAGACAAGCAGGTCAAAAGAAGATTACAGATTGTTTCAGCACGATAACTCATTATAACTAATGCAACCAAAAAATTAGTTCTAAGTTTTATTGGATTGATACTATTTGAATTTAAATCGTTTCATGTTAGAATATTTCGAAATTTCATCAATGTGCATTAACAATGCGTTGGCGGCAATGCTAAGCATCATCAATATAAACTGTTTTTATTTTAGCACGGCCAACTGCTGAAGTCTTAGAGTGGCTGAGGGAGCTATTCGATTTATTGAATAGTAATGCTGCATTTCGAGGTGATGGAAAAAGTTTGTCTAGTGTTGGTGAAGAATTAGGCATCGATGAAACGGCTCGTATTACAGTTGCGGCACGGACACCACAAAAGTCTGCACTCAAAATTTTTCGTCTATTATATCCAACAATTAGTCTTCGAGCAAATTGTATTTCAATCTTAAAATTACCAGAGGAACAATTACAAAACATTTACCGTAAGTTTTCCAATCTTCTATGGTATTAATGACTGTTTGCTTTATTTTAGTTTATGTTCGGCTTCTGCATCCAAATTTGACTTTTAAGATGATAGATATGCGACGTGCAATTGGAAATTCGATTCGGTCCGCAACACACGAAATGCGCAAGCTGGAATATCAACGGCAAGAACAGTTGAATCAATTACAAAACGATGAAGATTTAGATCCTGATGAGAGAAATGAAAGAATGCAAGATGTTATCGATACTATGGATATGGCATTGAACGCAAATGATGCAACTTTATATGATTGTGATCCCGATGGTGATGAAAATGGAGAAGACGATGACGATATCGAACATCTTACCATGACCGAAGAACTTGATGAAGACGACGATGAACTTTAAAAAAACTTTTAAAAGATATGATATATATATATTTTTAAAATGCACTTGTAATTCGTTTTTGATTATAACCACCATACATTTTCATTGTTTTTCTATTTTAAAGTTTTTCTTCATCTGACTATTTTTTACTTTGCCCAATATATCTCATCATTGTATCCCTATATTTACGCTTTTAATGTTATAAAGACTATAGCTTATGTTTCCAAAAATCTATTTATCCAAGTTTATGATGATGATATTTTTAACAGTATCCACAAGAATAAAAGAAACTCTTAGAAATAATCATCTTGATGAAACAAACAAGAATACAAAATGGCACGAGCAAGTTAAGAAACTTCTTAAAAAATGACTATGATCAATAAATTTTCATTTGAATCATTAGCACTCTAATCATTTAATGTGATATATTTAACTTCCTTAAGCTTCAGTGAAAAAAATCATATAGCTAATCGAACCCTCCCATAAAGATAGAAAGAAAAAACTTTGATTAAGATAACGAAAGTACAATTTTTTTCTATTCATGCAACCATGAATGTCCCTATATATATACATATATGTATGAAAAGATATATAACTATATCTTGGTATATATTTCTGTCTACAAATATATTTCTACATCTACATACCTTTCCATACCCACGTATATTTCGATATCTTCATATATATATTTCTACGTATACGTATGTATTTTGATACCTACATATATATTTCTATATCTTCATATATATTTCTATATCTTCATATATATTTCTATATCTTCATACATATTTCTATATCTACGTATGTATTTCGATACCTACATATATATATATATTTCTATACCTACATATATATATATATTTCTATACCTACATATATATATATATATTTCTA